TACATGGTGTGCTGACATTCACATAAAAAGATTGCACTGAACTTGATGGCATAAACATTGCCCATTCCTTTGACCAATAAAATCATGAAGATATTTTCTGGAAAAAAAAATAACTTGAAACATTTAAGATATAGATACATGAAATTAATTATTCTCCATCAATAATAATTAATACCAACTTTCTCTAAATATCAAACTTTCTATAAGCATTTAATATTTAACTTAAAATGCTTAAAGGACATGGTATCATTCATATAAAATATCCAGAACAGGAAAATCTACAGAGATAGGAAGTAGGTTAGTGGTTGTCTCAAGCCTGGAGAGAAAGGGACTAGGATATGACAGCCATGGGAACAGTTTATTCGAGAAATGACAGAATGTTCTGAAGTGATGGTGATGCATGTACAATTCTGAATATACTAAAAGCCACAAAACTGTATCCTTTAAATGGGAGAAATTATATGGCATGTGAATTATCTCTCAATAAACCTGTCCAATTTTAAAGGCGATGTGATTGTACACTTCAGAAAAGGAATCCTATAAAGTAGACATACATATACATGTATATGTACAGATGTAATAATTACACTGCAAAATCTACTCTTTTCTGGATAATGGAAGACAACTATTGTCTTCACAGTTAACGTCCTAGAAAAATCAATCCCTACAAGATCCCCTGGAGGGGAGAATGGCAACTCACTTCAGTACTCTTGCCTGGAGAATCCTATGGACAAAGGAACCTGGTGGGCTACAGTCCATGGGGTCAGAAAGAGTCAGACACGTCTGAAATGACTTAGCACACAGCACACACACAAGAAAAGACCATGTTATGTGTCTCTATAATTATGATAATCTAAATTCACTGGCTTCAGTAATGGAAAACTTCATCCTACCACAGCTTCAGGTCAAATTAAATACTGGTGTCAAGTGTCAAGAACAAGGTTTAGAGAGACATCTGTTTACATAGCACAGACCCTCCCAGAATTTCAGGAAACAGCTTGGAATTTGAGTCAACACAACTGGCATTCCCCTGGGGCCGCCAAGGCCACAGTCAACCCGGGCAGTGAACTTCTCACTCCCACTAGCCTGGTGGTGCCTTCTCCCTGGACAGACACACCAGTCCAAACGCTAACCCCAGACCATCCATCCCTACTCTAATGGCACCATCCTGTCCTCACCAACCTCCCCAAACACCCAACCACCATATCCCTTCCTGGCAAGCTCCAGTCCCTCTAGCGAAGTCAAAATTACCAGCTGCCCACGAAGATGGTCAAGAGCAACTGTCACCATTACCAGGTTCCAATCCAGGGAGGCTGTGGGTTGGGGGAAGATCAGTGAGAGCTGGGTCCCAGGGAAGACCAGCCTTCGAAAGGGCAGAGTGTCAAATATGCCAGACAACCCCAACACCCTGCTGCACCAATCACGTGGTCCCTTCTTCTCAAAAGCCTCAATTTAGATGCAGACAGCCTGGAATGACACTGTCTGACCCACCAAGAAAATCCATCACTGTTTTCTCAAGAAAAAGCTATTAAGAAAAAGAAATCCTTTATCAACTCCCTTTAATGAAAATATCCCTTTCAGTAGCTTTATCAACTTTCAGCAAACATTCATGACCAAGATAACAAGCCTTGTTTTTTTTTAATCAGTATTTTATAAAATGAATGGTCCAGTGCTGAAACAATGTTGCTCAACATTTTATAAAATCCTTAAACCATAATGCTAAGAAGCTTTAAAATCAATTCTTTAATGAACTATGAGTCACATTACCATTAGTAATTCCTAATTAAATAAAGTCAAGATAAAGTAAAAATTGGAAGACCGTATTCTAGGACAACAGGCAACACACCTTAATTTCTAAAAGCCTATTCCATGTATTCTGAAACCAATTCTCACAGTATAAGCCATGAACTCAGAAACCGTATGAACTGTAAGAATATTTAACTAACTCAATTGTACACTCACACATAAGGAATGATTGTGTCTACCTAATTTATTCCTATTTTTATTCCTATTTTTTTTATTCCTATTCCTTTATTCCACCTATGGTATACTCCCATTCAGCCCTCCCCCACTCCAAAAAAGTACAAATGAAACTGTATATCAAGCAGCCACTGGAAATCTCTTATATAAAAATCAGTCTCAAAAGTCAGTGAGTCTTCAGACATACACAACAAACTTATGATCACCAAAAGGGAAAGACGGGAGGAGGGATAAATTAGGAGTTTTGGATTAACATATACACCCAACTATATATATATATATATAAAATAGATCTAACAAGGACCTACTATATAGCATAGGTAGCTATATTCAATATCTTGTAATAACCTATGGTGTAAAAGAATCTGGAAAAGGATTTATACATATACATGTATATATAGAGCTGTGTGTAGAACTGATTGCTTTGCTATACACCTGAAACTAACATTGCAAATCAATTGATACTTCAATAAAAAATAAATAAATAAAATTTTTTTAAAAGTCAATGTAAGTCAGTTAAAGAACAGGTTGTGAGACCCCATTACCTAGACTTTTAAAAATCTTCACCTTCCATGGGAACTAGAGAATTTAGACCAAAAAAAAAAAGACCCCTATTTCTTTCTCCCAGCTTTAAGCATCCACAAATGAATTCTGAAATTAAGAAAATTAATAGGAACTAGTCAAAAGACTCTTGAGAGTCCCTTGGACTACAAGATCAAACCAATCAATCCTAAAGGAACTCAACCCTGAATATTCACTGTTGCTGAAGCTGAAGCTCCAATACTTTGGCCACTTGATTTGAAGAGCTGACTCATTGGAAAAGACCCTGATGCTGGGAAGGATCAAAGGCAAAAGGAGAAGGGGACGACAGAGAATAAGATATCTGCTTGGCATCACCGACTCAATGGACATGAATCTGAGCAAACTCTGGGAGATAGTGAAGGACAGGGGAGCCTGGTGTGTAGCAGTCCAAGGGGTCGCAAAGAGTCAGATGTGACTTAACAACTGAACAACAAGGCAAAAACACTACTTGAAAACATCTTAAAGTTAGAAACACATGACAAAGTCTGAGGAAATGGAACTATGCTGTCAACGCGAGATTCCGGGTGGTGTAGGTGTGTTTCACAGAGTCATGGATCCATCATCCCACAATGAAACCCCACGTACATTACAGTCTCTCCCCTTTTCCCAACCTCCTCCTCCACCCTAGAAACCACTAGTCTATCTTCTGTCCCAGTGGATTTGCCTCTTCTGGATGCTCCATATAAATGCAATCATACATGAGACCTGTTACTGGCTTTTCTCTTAGCACAATGTGTTCAAGGTTAATCCATGTTGTAGTATAGCATTCCTCTTTGCGGCCAAATGACATTCCACTGTATGAACATACCGCATTCTGTTTATTCATTTGTCAGCTGATAGACAACTGGGTTGTCTCCCCTTTGGGCCACTCTGATGAAACTGCTATGAACATCTGCACCCAGTTTTGTGTGGATGCGTGATTTCCTTCCTCTTGGGTATATACACCTCGAATGGCTGGATCATGTGTAACTTTACATTTAACCTTTTAAGAAACTGCCCAACTGTTTTTCAAAGCAGCTGCACCACTTTCCATTCCCGCCAGCAATGTAGGAGGGGTCCCATTCCTCCCCATTCTTGCCAGCACTTGCTACTGTCTTTTTGATTAGCGCTATCCTAGTGGGTGAAGCAGTAACTCATATGTGTGCTGCTCTGCATCTTAAACCAAACCCACTCATCCTTGAATTTTGGCCTCAGTTGTTCTTCCAAGCTACACATTTAAGTAAAAAATAGGCCCCAATGGCCATTCTTAAAACCCAAAATAAAGTCAGGATAATCTAACACTCTTTTAATAAGTGTCACTTCTGCACAGTATATGCATCATTATTTTACCCCCAACCCTATGAAGCTACAATAACGCCCAACAGCCAGGCCTTTCTGAATAAAGATTTCAGGCTAAGTTCAGGTGCTAAGGCTTCAGGGTGACACAACACACAACAAAGTTTTAAGCCACAGCTTTCGAGAGAGAGCTCTGGACTGGAATTCAGTTACACGCACACAGTACTGGCAAACCTGATCCATCACCTCCCTTCTCTGCACCTGAGCACGCGGTTCGGAGCCACTCACAGAAGCACATCCTCTGAAGTCCCTCCCAGGGATAAAGTTGTGGAAGCCTGAAAGTTTAATGAAATTTGCAAACATCCCAGCTTCTGTGCCTAAAAGATTTAGCTTCGCACAGCACAAACACTTTGAGCTCAGCAGCCAGACAGGCTGGGTTCTCTGTCCAGCTCTGCCACTTGGTAGCTAAATGGCACGGTCCTTTAACATCTATCTTCATATGTCGGTTTCCTCACATGAAGGTAAGACTGCCTTCTTCTGCGGGTGATGAGGTTTCATAAAGCTATTGTAACTAAAGCATCCAACAGAGCTGCTGGCATAGAGCAGGCATCTAAATCTTAGTGTTCATCCGTCTTCCCGCTAACTCTGGGCAAAGTTTCCCAGAAAAGAAAGCCTTCTTAACAAATGTCCTGGGCATTGAGAGCTGAATGCAAGTTCTTGTGACAAGAGGGATCCATTATAAAGCACTCTGCCACATTACAGTCGGCAAATTGCTAAGGAGAGCTTAAAACACGCTTAAATTGTCTCTAAAAAATTGGCTTAAAAACGGGATGGGGGAGTTCTTGGGAGGGCACTCAGGGATAAAGAGAGAGAAGAAACCTTATTTTTGCCAGGACAGAAGCCTACAAGCATCCTTCAGGCTCACAGACAGCCTGCACACAGAACCAACGCAAAGGACAGAGGATGAAAGGTATATTCCCACACCCCAATGGGAAACGCGGGTATAGACTGCCGGGCTTGAGTGGGGAGGGGAGAGGATGGGGCTGGAGGCCGCAGGGACACGGGTGGGGGCTGGCTTGGCTCCTGCGGGGGTCTCAGAGGAAGCCAAGCCCCCTCCTATCGGGGAATTAATGAACGGCTCCGACTGCGCCGCCCTCGCCTACCTGATCTGGTTGTCACAGAATTTGTTGAGATGCGGTTGGTTGAGGTAAATGGTGCGGGCTGGTGCGTCCAGCTGGTCTCCAACAGACGTGGCCCGGGACATCTCATCGTCTGCCTTCTTGTAGCCCGGAGGAGGACGGACAGGTCCTGCGGAGAAGAGGCGCGGGCAGAACGCAAAACACAAAGAAGTCACGCAGGGCAGCGGCGGCAGCACCGGCGGGCGGGGACTAGATGCAAGGATGCTCCGGGCGTCGCGCCACCCAGTCCCTCCGCTGCCCTGGAGACGGGCGCCGGCCCCGCCCCGCCCGCTGGTCCCCAGGCGGAGGAGCCTCTCCGGGGGTGGGAACCTCGGCCCCGCCCCCACTCGTCCCTCCCCCCCCTACCTCCCCCTCCCCTCCTCCCTCCATCCTCCCTCCCCAAACCTGCAGCCCCTGCGCCAGACCCGCAGGCTCGGCGAGGATGGTGAGGGGCGCACGGCTGGAGGCAGGGCCCCCGTGGACTGCGGGGGTGTGGGGAACAGAGACCAGAGCCTCCCCTCCCCCTGGAGGGGGGCGAGCTCGCCTCCAGGCCCAGAGACCGAATTCTGGAGCTAGGCTTTCTGGCTCCTTTGTGCTTGGGAACCGCGAGAGGAACCGCAAGGGGGTGTGCCCTGCATTCGGGCCCAGGAAAAGGGGCACCTCTGTGCTTCAAGATGAAATTCCCAAACCTCAGTGCAGAGCCCTGGCCCCCCCAGCTTAGCCTGCACAGACCAGCAGATGCCCCTGGCCACCTGACCACAGAGCACTGCCCATCCCAGCTCAAGGGTACATGCGAGCCTTACCCCGAGCCTGCATCCCGAGTCTCTTTGGTTAAGACCCAAGCCCCTCTGTCTCCTTAAGACTCGATTTCAGCCATACAGCTAACCCTTTCTTGGGCTAAAACTCCCCACTCACCTTCACTTGAGGAGGGGTCAGCAAGGGGAATGATGACATAACCATTACTGAAACCACTTCCCTGGGCTCACCCCCCACCCCCAACCCCACACACACCTCCAACCACAAGGCAGTCTCCCTCCCTGGACAGGGCAACCAGCTTGAGAATTGACCTTCAGGGAGGAGGCCCTGAAGTCCAGGCTCACAGAAATAAGTGCCCTGCAGGTGCCGGAGGCCCCTCTCCTTTTCCTTAAATCCCAGCTGGGCTTCCCTTGTAGCTCAGCCGGTAAAGAATCTGTCTGCAGTGCAGGAGACTCCCGGGTTCGATCCCTGGGTGGGGAAGATCCCCTGGAGAAGGAAATGGCAACCCACTCCAGTATCCTTGCCTGGAAAAATCTCATGGACAGAGGAGCCTGGTGGGCTGCAGTCCATGGGGTCGCAAAGAGTCAGATAAGACTGAGCGACTTACACTTACTGTGCTCTAGTACCTGCCGCACATCCCACCTATAAAAGAAACAGGTGTCGCAGGACTTAGGTAACAGGCATCTCACTTCAGACACAGCCACTTCATGCTCAGAAACGTTTTGAAGTAGACAGTTTGAGCTATGTAAATTTATCACCTTTTTCAAGTGATTAGAATCCTGTTACAATCTGCATCCTAAGATGGGGACACCCCAGTGTAACACTGGCTATTGAGGGTTGACATGTTGTCATGGGACATGCTCACAAGCGGGTCCCTGGTCACAAGCTGGTTGTAGGTCTGAGTACCGGACCCCCCATTCTCAGATCACCCCGTGTAGCCCTCATTGTCTGGCATCCCTCTGCTCTACTCCCTGCTTGTCCACAGGGGGCAGCAGAGAGCAGCAGGACCTTCAAACCGGCTGGACCTCAGAGGAGGCTGGTTTTAAAGCATTTGCTGATTTAAGGCCGACACAGGATATTTTTGAAACCAGCCTATACAAAAGTGCTGCTTTCCTCTCTGCCCACTCACCCCACTTTGTTCTCCTCCACAGCCGGTGTCATCATTACCTGACATTATTTATTTATGGTCTGTCTCCCCAAGGCCAAGAGCAGAAGCTCTAGGGCAGCAGAGACGTGTTTTGTCCACTACAGGGACCTGGCGCCCAGAACAGTGCCTGGTACATGAAGGGCACTTGTATTTGCTGGTTGAGTAAGTCATGTAAAGGGTCGCTTTGAATTCTCCAGGCAGGGATGCAGTGATGGGCAGCAAGGGCCCAAGCCCCACACCCTCCTGTGGGCAGAGCAGCTCACCTGGTCTTCATTCAGTGGCTTTCAACTCTGGCTGCAGACGATCACCAAAAAAGTTCTCACAATTAGCCAGTTCCTGGGTCCACCCCTCACCGATTGTGCCTCTTGTTTTTAAAGCTTCTTAAAGTGATATGAATGGGTAGCCACAGTTGAGAATCCATGGTGAGATGCAGGCGAGACCACAAAAACAAAAAAGCTGGCTCCTGCTCTCAAAAGTGTTAACCAGCATAACCTCAGTTAGCAGTGACTAGGACCAAGTGACGAAGAGGGGACTTGAAGGGGCCAGCGGGGTCAGAGGTCAGCGGCCACTTTGTGCCAAGGGGGGAGAGCTGGTCAGAACAGTGTGAGGGTCTCAGAGCCTTAACCTCTGGGTCAGGTTTACAGTAGGAAAAAGGACAATCTGGGTGAGGACGAGAAGACCTCAGATAGAGGCCCTGTAGACAAAGCACATTGCGCGGGGGTGGGGGGGGGGGACTGAGAATGGCAAAAACCAGCACTGGGCGTCCAAACTGGGAAATAATAGACAGGAAACTCGGAAAAATAGCCAGTGGCCAGACTGTGGATGATTTTAACGCCAGGGGAAGAAAGCTGAACTTCATCCTGAAGGTCAGATGAACCACAGACGCTTTCTAAGCAGGAGACAAGCGTACCCGAGGCAGAAAATGAACTCTACCATCGAGGAGTGAAAGTGAAAGGCACTCAGTCGTGTCTGACTCTTTGTGACCCCATGGACTATACAGTCCCTGGAATGCTCCAGGCCAGAATACTGCAGTGGGTAGCCTTTCCCTTCTCCAGGGGATCTTCCCAACTCAGGGATCAAACCCAGGTCTCCCGCATTGCGGGCAGATTCTTTACTAGCTGAGCCACAAGGGAAGCCCAAGAATACTGGAGTGGGTAGCCTATCCCTTCTCCAGCAGATCTTCCCAACGCAGGAATCAAACCAGGGTCTCCTGCATTGCAGGCAGATTCTTTACCAGCTGAGCTACTGGGGAAGCCCAACCATCTAGAAGCAAAATGATAAAAGTATCTATTGCATGGAGAAGGGGAAAACAATAGACATGAGAAACAGCTCAAAAGAAAATTCTGTGTGACTTCTTTTGGACAAATGTGTGGACCAGAAAGAAGAAGAAATAACTGGATAACTGAGGTATGAAGAGAAGACTGAGGCCAAAAAAAAAAAAAAAATCCCTGATAGAAATAAGAATGAAAACAAGCTTTCCCTAATAAGTATTTCAATGTTGGATCATAAATATTGGGGTGGAAAATTACTGGCACAATTGGTGGAAACAACATGAAGTGAATGATTTCCCAAGTACATGTCATCTATCAGGCCAGCTCACCTTTCTATACAACTACGGGGCCAAATCTAGAATTTTAAGTAGAAATACTGTCCCTACCTCCTCATCCCACCTCCAGGACTCAGATAACTTTCTTCTAGCTCAGGGGCTGCATCGTGACCCAATCCTTCTTTGGAGAAAGACATTAATATTTTGAAAATAACTAACATGATTTGTTGAAAATGTCTTGCCTAAGGAGAATGCTGTACCATATATAGCAAAGCACATTATGAACAAGGTTTCAAATTCAGACTCGTGAAGTGAATTCTGAGTTAATGCGCTAGGAAAATACCACCGTATAAAATCAAAGTGTATGTTTACAACTCCCCCATGTACAGAAGCCTGATGTCAGCAGGAACTCAGGAAACATCTACTGAGAAAGAAGCCAAAGTAAAAGGAAAGAACAGACGCAGATGAGCACAGAGCAACCCAGATTGGGCGGTGGACAGCCAAGGCCACGAGGGCAGGGGCCCTCTCTAGTTCACGACTCTGCCCCGTCCTCCTATCAGCTGGGTACATACACAAAGGGCTATACGGTTATGTGGTCCGAGTTGACCCAGTAAGAGTCTGCCTCCTGGAAATTTTAACGTGGGACCCAGGGAGGTGATTTGTTTTTCTGTTAATCTGTCTTATGTCAATTTGATTACTAGATCGACTGGTGAACCTCCAAGGACAGAAGGAGAATTTTTCTGCCTTTTCGCATGCAAAGTTTTACTATCACACAGAAAGAATTCTTGGGAAGGACTCTTGCCTTCCTAAGTCAGAAGCCTGTTAAAATGATAAGCCTTTTGGCAGCACTGCCACCCAGCTCCGTGGGAAGTGTCAAGCCTCGGCCACTGTCGCAGAGTGAAGAATTCAGCTGGTCTTAGTCCTGGCTTCCCAGGGGGGAGGCTCTGGCCCCCTGGAATCTCCCAAGTGATAGGAGTATCTGTTGTTCATGTTGGAACCTTTTGAGCACACCTGAGTTTATACCAATGGGGTGACTCCTGTGGACCCTGGACAGTCTTAGGATGGGGGCTGACCTGCCAGGAGCACCGTGTGATTGGAGGGCTGGGGATTGAGCCAGTTGACATCAGCCTGACCTCCTGAATGGGAGCTCAGGGGGAGACATGGGGACTGGAGACCTATACACAGGAGTCCCATAAAAATATGAGGCCCAAAACGCAGCCAGGAAATTGCAGCTTATGTAGCATCCTGAGCTAAGGGGGCAGGGGGTGTCAGGACACGAAGGAAGACCTTTCACGGGAAGCAGAGGAGGTGTTTGGGAAACAAAGGTCGCCCTGCACCCTGTTATGCAGGGAAGTTTCTCAGGTAGAAAGTTATCTCAGATGAAAGTTCAGTCATGTGGCCAATTAATAACACCCGTGTAATGAATGGGCTTCCCTGGCTCAGTGGTAAACAATCTCCCTGCATGCAGGAGACCCAGGTTTTATCCCTAGGTCTGGAAGATCCCCTGGAGAAGGAAATGGCAACCCACTCCAGTATTCTTGCCTAGAGAATTCCAGTTTCTTTTTTCATGAAATCCCAATAAAACTGTGAACACCAAAGCTCAGGCGATGTGTCTGGAGAAAGCCTCCCACAGGGAACCTCCCAAGCCTCACTCCGTCTCTATAGGCTAGTCCTGATTTGT